GCATGTTCCATTCCAAAATTCTAGTCAATTACCATTTTTTATTTAAAATCAATAGGAAGTTTCAAACACATTATAATGTAACCCAAAGGGACAGTCAGAATGTTGATAAGATATAGAGGGAGACAAACATTTCATAAACCCACAAATCCATACTTTGTTCAATATTGTAAAATGGTAGCTTTATTTAATGCCTCTTCTAAAGATAATTAAAGAAACCAGGAGATATTTTACCATAAAAGAATGTATTGAAAAATAAAATCAAATTACATTTCAGGCGTATTTTTGCTTCTTAATTGATTAAAAGAATTATGATAGTTTTCCACTGTAATGACTGGAGACCTAATCGACATGTTGCTCTGCCTGCTCTGCAAATAGCAAGGAAGTCACTGAAACAAGTAAACCTGAAGGCTAAATTCTGCCATGCACACCCAAGGAGCCACATTGAAATAAACTGAGTTGTGCAAGCATGTTTAAAAGCAGAACTTCATTCACTGACTTTAGAGAAAACTGTTTAATATATCTAAAAGGCAAAATGGGTCCTATTAACTTATCTGTAGTAGTCTGAGGGCCAGGATTATTATCTCATTTAGACTGGTAGGGACAGTTTGGAGTCATGATGCTGAGCTAATACTAACTAACACTTTCTGTCTCTCTAGCAATCTATCAGTCAGATGCTCCATATAGAGTGCATAACATGTATTGCTTAAGAGAGCAAAAATGTTCATTTTAAATACATAAAGTCCTGTATCTATCTTTATTAACACCAAACCAATCGAAATCTACCAACTCTCTCGCCAATCTTCTACTTTCTTATTAAAGACAAAGTCATTATTTTGGAATGAGAGATCCAATTCGTGCCCTCATTTGGGTGAAATTACTAATGCAGATTGAGTTTTCCAGAAGAATTACTGAACTTCTGTAGTTGAGATTCTAACTTAATTTATGCACTTAGCATGATAATACACTTTATTATTTGTTACACCATGCTGATGACTTCTCCCTAGGCAATGTGTAATTATTTCAGAGTACCTATTACAAGAACAATGAAAATTGCTGTTATTGGCTGACTCCATACAGTTTACACCATTCTCTCTCTATTTCATGTACTGGCTTAGAACTGTCATTGTGATCAGTGAGAGTTAATTCAAGATGGAAAATTCTATAAAATTTTCAAATTATCTAATTACAGTACTGATTTCATATTAAGATATTAAAAGTCAGATATAGGAAATAAAAAGCGGAAGGAGTTTGCCTTATTTTATAAGGTCTAAATTCCTTAGGGAAGGCAGGAGGTCATTCCAAAATCTAACCCACTAAAAATCATTCAACCAACAATGATTTGGGAAATCATGAAAGATACTTTGTTAAAACATTTCCCCAGAAGAAAATATTATTATTTAAATGCAATAATTGAGATTATGTAATTCTCAGTTCATAACAAATTCAAGTAGGCCAAAATCTTCACTTAAACTTGCATTCAAAAATATTCATAAAGGGGAGGGGGTTTTTGACACCTGCAAGTAAACTTTCTTAATGGAGAATATTAATCTAGGTAATGCCATAGCAATGAAGTTAGGAACCCAGGGCAAAGCCCACAGCGGCAACCCACCCTCACCCCACACACAGATCCAGGGGGCACACCCCCCCCCCATGCTTGCCCAGGAGCACACACAGCAGTGGGAGCTGCCCTTCCCCCCCAAACAAGCCAATCATGGCTCCATCCTGTGCTCCACCCTGGCTGGGCAGCACCTGTTGGCGCCCCTTCACTTTGGCCCCCAGGGTGGTCACCCCAACCTTGCTATGGCACTGAATGTAGGGCGTGTGTCTTGCAGCCTTGGGGCAAAAAAATGCAACTGACTTCAGCAGAGACAACTGCAAAAGTAAGCCTGGACTATAGTCTCTGCTCTGAGATACCTCTCCACAAAAGAAATTCCTGCCCAGAAGAGCATTCCAACTTTCCACTCTTCTGTGAAAAATGAAACATCGTAACCAGAAGGAAATATGATTCTACATCCTGCTGTTGCCCTGCCAAGGGGTGAGGCCAACGCTCAGGATCTCAATATTGTGCTGTTAGACAGGAGGGGTAGTGTACAATTGCACATATCCAAATACACACAAATCAATTAGGTGCATACACACACACACTACCAGCACAGGCACATACACATCCAAAATAACAAGTCTAGGTTCATGCACACCTATCACCAGTTTAAGCCCATACACACTACACACACCAAATTTAGACAGAATCAGTTACCAATTGCCATCACCTGCACATCCAATACACATACGTGCATTACTAATTCATATACTACACATACAATGATATCTATATATGTGTATTCACTAATTCACACACATACCACCCACCTACACATACACAGGTGAGTTCCTAAATTGGGTGTTGTGATGTGTATGTATGTATGTATGTATGTGCTTGGTGTACTTCGGATACCTGGAGAAAGGTTAAGGTAAGAAAGTAGAAGTGTAGGGAGTTAAAGTTACCAGGACTGGGATTAGAACTGGTAGACTACAGGTGCCTGGGCTGAAGAACTGAGGTTCAGGGGTAACTTTAGGTTAATTAATCTTAATGGATTAAAAGACATCACCGAAAGCACGCAGAACAGGGAAGCGATGCAGGCACAGAAGCTGGGTCTGGAGCCAGAGCTACGGGGGAGCTTAAAGCAGGGGTAACTTTAGGTTAATTAATCTTAATGGATTAAAAGACATCACCGAAAGCACGCAGAACAGGGAAGCGATGCAGGCACAGAAGCTGGGTCTGGAGCCAGAGCTACGGGGGAGCTTAAAGGTAGGTGGGGAAAGGGGAAAATGGGACTAAGGGAAAGTGTGGGTGTTAAAGAGGGGCTCTGGGTGTGGGGAGCCAGAGGATGGCTCTGGGGCAGCTAGAGAAGTTGCAGGGAGAAGCAGTAGGTGCTGGGAGCTGGAGAAAATTGCAGGACAACTAAGAGGAGCTGGGAAGCTGCAGGTGGGGGGGGGGGGAGGATTACAGAAGGTATGGGGAAAGCCTGAAAACAGAGAGATGGACAGCAGAAAATCACAGTAAAAGCAGCAGGCGGAAGGACAGGAGAGATCCCGGGGCGCGCCTGACATTTGATAAGGAAGAGCTGTGTCTGGTTGTCAGCTAGTCCGGGCAAAGTTATCTAAGGCAGTCCCATCTGGGTCGCCAAAAACTGTTGAGCCCCAGCTCAAGTCTGGGATCGTGCCCGGTATGCAAAAGCCAATAAAGATACCAGGGGTGAGAGTATAAAGAAGATTTATTGCTAGCAATACAAGGTGCAAGCGGAATAATTTCACGTAACAAGCACACAGATTCTTAATTATGAGCATCTTTTATACAGGAGTATTGGACCTTCATAAGCATTCTTGTTTGCTAATTGGTTATAAGGGAGTGACGCAAGGAGTTCTTTACTGAGCATGTCTCTATACCTGTGTTTTAGCTATGTATCTCATTTCCATACATGTATGTTTCATTAGCATACTTTCTCCCCACCTAGGGGTGTGAATCTTAATATTTAAATCAGCTCTTTGCCCTAGTCCACTAATTCTGCTTTTGTTTTCAAGCCTCCTTTATCTAAGACTGTCTTCTCCTTATCATTGCAGATGGGCATTAGTTACATAACAGAGACTTTTGCTTGGGCTATGTGTAGTGGTTTCTAGGTCAAACCTGACAGCAGCAGGGTTTAGAGAGGCTTGGTGCAGGGGCTGAAGTCCACTGAAGTCCAGAAGGGGAGAGAGAGAGAGATAGAGTCCAAATTGTAGGAGGAGGTATGCAGTTAATATCTACCTATCCAGGCTGGAAAGGGGTCCTTGTCCAGTAGGTGTTGTCCAGAGCGGGGTCGCTGGCAGGGCCTCTGGGTGGATAGGTTAGGTGGTGTGGCATGGTGCTGGTCCCGATGGAGAGGGTGTCCCTCTAGGTCTGTCTTCACTGCCCCTTTTTATAGGGATGGACCTTGTGTGACCCTAGTGACAGGAGGCATGCCCAGGCAAGGGTCAGCCCCTGGCATACTGAGCATGTGTGCTCCATGAAGGGATGTGCAGTTTCAGGTGTCTATAATGGTGAGAGTTGCTGGTTTTGCAGGGCCTTTTGTCTTTCAAATGCTGGTCTTGTCTCTGTTCCTGGGTGAGGTCTGTGGTTCCTGGATGAATCAATGTGAGGTGATGGCCCAGTCGTTACAGGCCATTCAGTAGAGGCCTGCTACCATTGTATTTCAATCATTCCCAATCATTCTCATTCATCTGGGAACCAATTTACATGGGAGGGGTATGTGATTCATACAGTTGCAACATGGGATGCCCAGGTAGAGGACAGAAGATGAAGGCTTGACATATAAAACGGAACCTTGACATGACTTTGATTCACTTACAAACACAGGCCTAAACCATACAATATCCATATGAAGCAATAAAAATCAATACAAAAATTATAATAATACAATATACAACAGTAAAAATTAATACAAACCTTATAATAATACAATATAAAACGGTGGATATCCAAAACCAAAAACATGCTACCAAAATTAAAATGTTTAAAGCTTATCCTAAGTCTGAGCTCACTTATGCTTATCTATAGGAAATAGAGAGGGAGAAAAAAGGTCAGAAATGTTTGTGGAAGGGGAGGGAATGCATTTTAAAATAAATACAAAAAAAGAAAAAAAAAGAAAAAACTGGGGGGTTTGCTACACTAGGGAACTTTGAGATAAAAAGACTTTTCTAATATTTCTCTTAGCCTAATCTGCACTAAATGAACTGTTCCAAACAGGAGACTTTACAACACCTGCAGCTCTCCTGTGAAATATGAATTTTCATTTCTACCTAGGAGAACTCTTACACTCTTTGCAATCTCCTATGCCTGAGGAAGGGTGCCTGTGCCTGAAAGCTTGCAAATAAAGACATTTTTGGCAAATATATAGTTGATCTAATAAAAGATATCATCTCTGCCATGAGTTTTGATTCCTTTTGCCTCTAGACCAATATGGCTACAACCTGGATACCTGGTTGCAGGATAAGACATTTGTAGTTTGTAAGTGAGGCTGAAGAAGGAAATTGGTCTATAACTTTTTGGTGATGAAAGGTCTTTCCTCCAAGTCATTAATAAAGATATTAAATGGTGTCAGACCGAAGGCAGACCCCTTAGTTTTCATTAAAGAAATAAAACTTATAACTATGGGGAAAAGATGGAAAATAATGAGACTTAAAAGGGTCAAAAACCCAAAAAGGAAACAGAAAGAACCCAAGATATATTGTGATTTTTCAGGGTAATGCTTTATTCTTATTCTTAACAGTTATTAATATTATTAATGATAATGTTATTATTCCCACTGCTGTTGTTATTATTGTTGTTGTTGTTAATGTTATTTTCAAATATTCAGATATTTTATTTTCAGATATTTCAGTATATAAAAAGTCTGTCTTGACATATGTTGTGCCTCAGAGACATAGAAAACCAACATTTGAGAAACAGTCACACCAATAGATATCTTCTGAGTGTAATCCTGGACAACTATTCCTTGTTCTAGACCATCATTCAATCAACACAGTGTAAGGAAGAGCAGATGGTGCTAGGAGTGAAGACACGGAAATACCTGGTAAACTGAAAGAAAATAAATTAAAAAAAAAAACCCCACAACTTAATTACCTGCATCTACGAGTGTCCAGGTGGCACAGGACAGATGTGGCAGCACATGCAAATCAGAAACTGAAGCTGCAGTACTGTGGCATGCCCAGGGATAAGGAAGTATGTCAGTTCTCTAGGACCATAATGTACTAGGCTAAGCAAAATTCAGAACACTATTTGTCTTCCTCCCAAATTAGGGCAAAAAGTTAAACATCAATATATTTTAGCAGTTACAGAAGTGTTGAAACAGTATTTTGACATTTTAAAATCAAAACAAAACACTGACAGGCTCCAGACTTGACACATTTATTTTTGCAAATCAGTTCAGTGTGAAACTGTATTATTCCCCTAGTAACATAACCTCATAGGATTTGTGTTTTGGGGAACTTTGGGCACATCTACATGTTGCCCTATGGCGACACTATTACACCGTGCTTTTGTGCACAGTTATTTTTAGCGGTTACTTCGCCATAGTGGCATGCTACAGCAGGGGAGTGCACCACTGCAGCAAAGTAGCTGCTGGTCACATGTGGACAGCCATGGATGCTATGTAACCCTAGTGAATCACTACAGAGACACAGCGTCACATATAGATGTGCCCTTTATGTCCCAGTGAGTGCATCTAAATGTGATGCTATGTTGCCGTAGCAATGCACTACAGTGGCATAGCATCTGCAGCATCTACACGTGACTAGCAGCTACTTTGTCATAGCAATGCACTCCCCTGATATAGCGCGCCACCATGGCAAATTAGCTGCTAAAAATAACCATACACGCGTACGGTGCAGTGCAGGCTGTTACTCCAAAAGGATGTACTAAATCATGGCACAGTAACAACATCACCATAGCAAGACATGTAGATGCTCCCAGTTTGTCTTCTGCATCTGGCCCCCATCATCCACCTAGAGTCATCTCACCTAAGTTAGCTAGAAATTATGGCATGAGGTGATCTCCTTGGGAGGCCAAACAATTGAAAGAATCTAAACTGCACCTCCCATAAAAGCAACAGGCTGACAGGGAAGCACAATGTAATGTTTTGTTCAACTGTTTTTAAACAATTTTTTAAAGAAACAATTTTAATACAAGTTGCAATGACTCATGGTAAAATGTTTTGCACATATCCCTTGAATATGACTGTGATAAAGGACAGAAATACCCAATCACCTGTAAGAAAACACTTTTCACTCCATTTCTGACCTCATAGTACCTGTACTCAAAGGAAAACTATAAAGCACTTTCAGAAGTTGGGGGCTAGATGTTACTGGACACTCAACACCATGAACCAAACATGGACAATGATTCCAAGGCTCGTTATAATTTCAGTTATGTCACTATTATCCTCTCTATGCAAGAACTAAATACTGTTTCCTTTTGTATGGTCCTGCTCTTCTCCACAATTAGGTTATTTAATCAATTGCACTTCTCTTGGTCTGAAGCTACTTCTGATCACATTTCTTGGCTTCTAACTTAAAGAAGTCCTCCATTCCTTTAAGTCAGGGATCAACAACCTTTTAGAGCTACTTGTGACCTGCCCACTGCCACAGGCTTTTTATCCCCATTGCTGCTGAGGGTCTCCGTAGCACCCAAACCACCTGCTGCCACCTCTCCCATCTCTAATACCAATAGGGACAGATTCATTCAGTTCTTTTCCTGGGGTGCAGGCAGTGGAGAGAATGCAGGGAGGGCTGCAGAGGGGATCACTGGCACAGTACAGGGTTGAGAAGATAGATGCACAAGAGCGAACTCTGTGCTATTGATCTCCTGTGCCTACATGGGCTGGGTCCAACACACTTCATGGGCCAAATCTAGCCCACAGCCTCTAGGCAACCAAGCCTTGTTCACATTACTTTTGTTATTTCTATATGAAGTTAAACACGAAGTAATATTATATCTGATATTTGACTTAGGATGTACCTGCTTCTCTGACATGTAAAGAAGGGGACCCTGTGCCCAAGTTGTCTAACATCTATTCTAACTAAATTAAAGGTGGTCCAATATAAGATATCACCCAAAAACCTAAAGCTTCTCGCATATTTCCTGGACCATCACAGCTGCAAAAACACTCTAGCCCTACTACTAATACAATGGAAAACAGTCTCAAAGCCACCACCATGGCATACCCCATTGCTGTGCCTGCTGCTGTTCAAAACTGTTATTTGTAAGAATTTGGTCCCTTGTCTGGTTGAAGCAGGGGGTTGCAATATTTATACTGTGTTCATTTCTCTAATATCGCTGGGCACAGTTGGGCTTATAGGCTAGGGACAGAAGTTACAAATAAGCCAGTTTAAGTGATTGGAAACTGGTTTAAACCTATAACAGAATAGAAGTTCAGTGCATACACTTCCAAAATTCAGTGCATATACTTCCAGTGCACCACTTCCAAAATTGCAAAACCCAGTTTAAGATAAACCAGGTTGGAAGTAGTATCAGACTTAACTGATTTAGGTTAAACTGGTTTATGGAACTTCTGTCCCAGATACCCTTCCAGCTCAAGTTAACTCTTAGTCCACCCAGCATCCCAGAATGCTTTACAGCCCTTGGCTGTGCTATCTTCTCCAGCAGAGCTGGGTTGTTCCTGCCCCTAACCGTCACAGAGCTGAGGAACTAAAGCCTCTGCTTCCTAGCCCACTTCCTGCCTGTGCCTGTCAGCCTGGTGGGACCAGAGGGCAGGGGAATGGGTCCCCAGCCCCCCCCCCCCAACCCTCATCTGTAGACCACAAGTGGAGGGAAAGTCCTGATGATGGGGGATTTTTGCCCTTCCCCCCTGCAGCACAGTGAGCCAGTCTGGGATCAGCTGAGGCACCCTGCCTGGCACTGGCTCCCCGTTCTGGCTTCTGCCTGGCAGGGGGGAAACCCCCACCAAAGGGCTTTTCCCCCACTACAGTCCTGAGCCAGACTAGGATCGCCCCAGCCCCACCCCCTCCTACACCATCTGGTTGGGGAAGGGCTGGAACTGAAGCTGTCCCATCCCAGATCTGGGCTGCAGAGGGGGGCAAACCCCCCCCCCCAGTGGGGCCTTTCCCCCCAACACTTGACAGACCCCAGCTGTAGGATCTAGTGGGGGTGGGGAGAGATAGCCTGCTGGTTCTCCTCTTCCTGGCTAGGGACAGACATTACACATAAACCAGTTTAAATGATCAGAAACTGGTTTAAACCTGTAACAGAAAACATAACCTGTTCAGTGCACATAAACCAGTCTGAGAATGGCTGAAAGCAGTTTGAGATAAACCTGATTGAATGTAGTATCAGACTTAACTGATTTGGCTCAAGCTGCTTTAAGCAATGTCTGTCCCAGACCCCTTGCTGGTTTAAGATAAACCGGACAACCCCAGCATCCCAGCACATTCTCTGGGCTCAGCAGGGCTCTCTCCTGCACAGCAGGGCTTGCCCCTCCCCTCTGCTCCATGGCTGCAACTCCCTGCTCTCTCCCTCACCACTCCCTGCTAAGCAGGAATTCCCCCCTCCCCTCTGCCTTCCTGAGGAGGTGTCTGTGTATTAGATAGCAGACCACATGCTGGCTATGGCCTGAGCTTAATCAACAGGTAGAATCAACAAGCAGAATCAACAAGTATCTGGTAATGTCCCTGTATTGTTTTCTTAATTGGGTGATAAACACTGTTATCAGTTCCCTGCTGGGCTACTCAGAGCTTCTGCCAGGGCCTGGCTACAGCCACCTCAGCTCCATACTGTGGAAGGAAGGAGAGCTGCTTTAGCACCTCCTGGCTTCTAGTCTGAGCCACTGCAGGCATGTGCCTGCATTTCTGGGATGACTGTCTGGTTACAAAACTGATTTAGCCTAGCCAAGTTAGACTAACCTGCAAGGATTGAATCAATTCAGGCTCCAACTTTTTGAATATCTGTTGCTATCCCGAGACTAACAGCAGATGGGGGCATGTGTCCAGCAGCCAATCAGGCCTGGATTGCTGATACACTGGGTTCAGCAGCCTTAGGCAGTGTGGCCATGAGAGATGGTGCACATGAGTGCTCCCAGGCACCTGGCTGAAGCCAGTACAGGCTTCTGCATGTCTTGGCCACCCAAACACTGAATGTGAGTTCAGTTTCTTTTCAGTTAAATCTATGCAGCTTAGAAGATTGAACCAATTTTGCATCCGGCTTTTTGAACCTCTGAACTTTTCCATATAGAATAGAATAGGAAGTTAACTGTATTTAAAAGGAGAAAGAAGATGGAATGGCAGATGGGATGAAAGGAGGTGAGGATTTGAATTATGGATGGTGACTGCACTTTACTGTCTTGGGTTTTTTTTCTTTTTCCTGGAGCAGGGCAGACAGGAAGATGGGTGGACCTAGGCCTAAGTTGTTTGTGGAAGTTCCATGGGTAGTAACTTTGAAGTAACAATCCATACATTTTGTACATATGGATTATTTTGTGGATTATCCTTAATAAAATGATGTTGTATCTACTGGTGAAGAAGCAGAGCTAATATTAGAAAAGAACAGAGCTTACACTAAGTTCTTTCAGGTCACCATGACTATTGAAGATTTTTTGGCTGTCACTGGGAAGTGCTTTTTCAGTGATGCTTTTGTAATTGAAGTGCTTCCACTGCTATAGAAAAAAGTTGTTTCTTTTGTGCATGCTTGCTGTGCTGATGTGAAGGGATTTCAGCTTAGGTTTCAGGGATGAATCACGTAAGAAGTAGCAGATGGTGTTAGGAATGGAGTGAGGACATAAAGACACCAAGGGAGCTGGAAGAAAACAACATAACAAGCTGCTTTGTAAACCTTACCTAAAGATGATTCCCACAGTTCAAAATGGGGTTGTAGTTGCTCCTGTTCTTTTCAGTTACTTTTCTAAAAAAAAGATATAATGATAATCAGTTAAGTATGCATTAAGAATGCTGCAGCAAAACTGGGGAAAAACAAAAATATTGTGTACATATACACACCACTGCTCTATCAAGGTATTTATTTGGCTGCCATTTCTGTGATTGTCATACATAATATTTCGCTACAATTTGGAAGCATTATTATACCAGTTTAGAAAAGTGAGACACTTGGATGCTGAGATAGAGTAATTGATTTACCTAAAGCTACCCAGGGATTCTCTATCCCATGCTAAAAGCAAACACAGGTCTCCAGAGTCCCACAACAGCATTATAATTTTGCTGCATCATTCCTATTTCATGCACACAATGTCATCTCCTACCACCCTTCCTTTTAGATTTGCCTGTTTATCAATAGAGACATTGAAGCGGAGACTCACTAAACAACAGTGAACTTTATTGTGGGGCAATAAGCAACCTCTGCAGACCCTTTTCCCAGCTCTAACTGTTCTGTAACTGGGGGGCTAGCTCTCAATTACATTCTCCCTTCATCTCCTCTTAGGGACCCTCTCTAAATTATAACTTCTATCACCACACTTCTATTTTCTGTACTTAAGTAGGAACAGTTGGTTAGGACCAGTCCATGTCCACTTCTTTTTGGAAGCTCTATGGAAGCACTTGTAGATCCCAATGACTGTGTCTCAGCATATCCCAGTGATCTGTTCAGACCACATAAGAACACAGATACACTAAAGCTTAGCTAGTGCCCCCTGATCCCATGTATTTGAGATGTAATTACTGAGATTCATCCTATCATCAGATTTTAGTACCGGGAGTTCCCAGGATCTTGTATCTAAGTTTCCTTTGTCCCTTTCACAGTGTCATTATCCTGAAATTTTAATAAACTGTCACATATTAGCAAGCTAGAACATATATGTAAATGTATTAATAGCTGTGCTGGTGACCAGAAATTTGCCAGGGGTGAACTTCAGTAAGCCAATAAGAAATCAAAACTCATGGCAGAGGTGATATCTTTTATTAGACCAACTACAATTTTGCAAAACAAAAAATCTTTATTTGAAAGCTTTTGGGAACAGGTACTCTTCATCAGGCATAAGGGATAAGCCAATAATACTTTCAGAAAATCATCTGGTCTGTGTATTGAGCCATAGATTTGTATCAGGGCTGTGCGAAACAGCACCATTTTGTTTTGACTTATGTTTCACCGTTTTGAAGGGACAGTGTTTCATTTCATCATTTCATTTCATTTCAAAGCACTGTTCTGTTTCATTTTGTCAAAACTGTTTCACTGTTTTGACACGTTTTGACGTTTCGCCCATAGGCTGTAATGGGGGATCACAAAAATGCCTAAACATTGTCATTTCCTGCCTGATTCAGATGCAAATTACAGGGATGGCAGCCCATTGTGAGGGCACAAAGCCCACCAAGTTTCAAAGAGATAGATGCAGAGGTTTCTGGGAAACTGCACCTCAAACTGTACAAAGCAAAACTCATGACACTTGCCTGCAGCAGCAGCCTCCTCTCATCCCATGTGCGAATCTGGGGTCCCACACCTCCAGGAGGGCTGCAGGGCTGTGCCAGACTCCTTTCATGGGTGCAGACCTCCAGATCTGTGTGCCAGATGATGACAAGAGGCTGTTGCTGCCACTTGAGGCTAGCGGCAGCAGCTATCTTCCCCAGCATTGGGTGCAGCCCACGCCCAGTGCCAATCCCAGATGGCAGCAGCAGCTTCCTCTCATCTAGCATGCAAATCCAGGGGCCTGCACCCCTGGGAGGAGTCCAGCACAGGCCCACAGCCCTCCCAGGGGTGCAGACCCCTGAATCTACGCACCAGATAAGAGGAGGCTGCCGCTGCCACATGGGACCGGTGCTCAAGCTAAGTAAGCCTGGCTTTGAAACTCAAAATGTTTCAAAATGTTTCAAGTGCACTTGTTTCATTTTGAAGTTGTTTCAAAGCTTTTTGTTTCATTTTGATTTTTCTGTTTTGAGCTCAAAACGCATCAAAACAGCAACACCCAGTGAAATTTTGCACAGCCCTAGTTTGTATCTGACTGCTGACACCATATAGTGTTCATCAGGCTCAATAAAGAGAGTCAAGCAAGAATGATAATACCTCCGTGGCATACCAATGGGGGAGACGGAAGGGGGCCATGGCCTCTGGGCACTGGTCTGGGTTGGGGGGTGCCAGCTGGGCTGAGAGGCTGCAGCACCTTCCGCATTTGGTGTGTGTCCCACCCTCCTGTCCAGTGGGTTGTATGGTACTTTACCTGTTACAGCTGGAAATTCCAGCTACTGCCCCTCCTTTGGCATACTACAATGTCAATTTCCCTGCAGAAGTGCCATGGGGCAGGAGAGGGGGGCTCTGCACCCTGCTCGGATCATCCCTGGATGGGGGTGACACAAATGCAGGCATTGGCCCCATGGTACACCACTGCAAGAACTAAACAACTCTTATTGTAAACAAGCCTATGAAATCCTTTTGTCTCTACTTAAACACTCCATAATTGAGGGAGCATCTCCCATTCACCAACTTCCTCAGTCTTCTGAGTTAAGGAGAATCTCTAAATTATAACTTTAATCACCATATTCATCTCTATTGCTTTAGTTTGTAGCATGTTGAAGGATGTTTTTGGTGTTCCATCTATTGTGCCATGGCATAAAGCAGATAGATTATTTACATAAAACCGATGGCATTAAGATACAGCTATAATAAAAGCACTCACAAATTATAGCAACGGCTTTGTAATATGCCAAAATTTAGTAGTATAGTATTTTATAACAATATTTGTGGTAATACAAAAGACTTTCCTGAAATATAAAGTTATTGAAAAGGTCTCTTGTAATCATTTTTACAGATTAAGCTATCAACTACATTTAATTCTCATTATGAACAGGCAACAATTCAAAGATCATGTTCGTATATAAGTAATAGACAGTGATTTACTGAAAAATGTCACCAGTGGGAACTGCTTATTAATTCAAGAGTTTTCTATGTATCCAGCATTATCAAAACTGATAAATAGAAAGAGATAAAAACTAAAATACACTATGTCCTCATTGGGCTATAAATATGGGTAACACTGAACTCTTAAGCAACAACATGCTACGTATTTTCTTTCACTGCTTTAAAATATAATTACACTCAGACACTGTGAAGGGGAATGCTGTTAACCAAAGAGCACATTTAGCACAAATTCAGCTTGTGGTCTGCTGTAACCCGGAGGACCTTTTCTGCAGTACTGCAGCCTAGCTGTTCATTCTCCAGTCTGTATTTGTGTATGTAATTATTCTTTCCCAAGTGCAGGACTTTGCACTTGTCCTTGTTGAATTTTATATGATTGATTGTGGATAATTTATCCAGCCTATCCAGGTCATTCTGGATCCTAGCCCTACTCCCCCAAGTATTTACCACTCCACACAATTTCGTGTCATCTGCAAATTTGCTAAGTGTGCATTTGATCCCATGATCTAAATCATTTAAGAAGCTATTAATACCTGGGACCCAAAATAAACCCCTGGGAAACCTTACTTAATTCCTTGTCCCAACTAGACATTGAACCATTGATGTCTACTCATTGAGCATGATGATCAGGGATCCTGCTTTCCTCTGATTTGTAAAAGAATCCCCAATTCTCAGGTAAAAAAGTAACCCCAAATCTATATCTATATATTAGTGATGTTTCATTTAAATCATGGAAAAATGTGGATTTGGGGTTACTTTTTTTTACCCCCAAATTGGGGATTTTAAATCAGAGAAAACCAGGATCCCTGCTTATGTCTTTTGCCAGCTGCACCACAAATAATGCCTTAGCCTTCCTAAATTCCCCCCTGCATGCCCTTTTCTTGCACTTCCCTAGCACAATGGCTAAGTTTCCACTTTTTATAGGATTCCTTTTTGAGTTTCAACTCATGGAAGAGATGGCTTTCTAGCCAGCCTGGTCTTCTGTTGCACTTCCCAGTCTCCAATCACTTCAGGATAACTTGCTCCTACACCTTTAAAAGGGCCTCCTAAAAGTAGAGACAAAGCTCCTGGACTCCTTTTCCCCTCAGACTTACCTCTCAGGTACTGCTGGGCAGTTACCTGACTTTGTTGAAGTCCAGTGTTCTTATTCTGAGTGAGGAAATTGTCCTACAACAAAAATATCTGGCCAAATTCTACTTAGACTTTATGAGTATGCACAGTGAAGAAGAAGCCAAGGAGAACTGTTTGCACTGGACTACAGACTTTACTGCAGGGATTCATAGCACAGCAGAAGAGCCAGGAGAGACAGTCTTGCCTATCTCTACTTTGCACCAGCCACTGAAACTGGACTGTTTGGGGGGGAGGGGAGGAATCACACCATCCACATGAACTATAGCAGTTGGTGGTCCCCAGAGAGTTGGAAACTTTCTGCCTGATCTCACTGAGCCAGGACAAATGCACACTTCTCCCTTACCCAGGGCCTACATGGCACTTTTGTTCCCACTGTAGAAACTATACAGGTATGATGATTTATAAGTATACAGTAAAGTATTGGCTTCTTACTTTTGTTGCAGTTGGCTGAATCTAGAAACCATACCCTGTATGACAAATAGAAAAAAAACAGCCATCATAGTTAATGTGATTAATTACTATTGAATTCAGCTGCTTACTAGTAGCAGTAGTTTAGTAGTTATGGGTCAAAATATTGTCATCAGAATGCCCCTTATGAATATGATTAATGACATAAGAGGATGACATATTGGGCCTTCACTTGCCCCTAACTTTACAACATTAAGCAGTTTTACACATATCCTCAAAATGATAGATACACTTAATCAGTAGTACTAGAAGTCTCATTAAGTTCTCATTAAACTTCTATACCCTATGTATAACCTTGAGAGGTCCATTAGACACTAATGAGTATATTCTCCTCTCACTGTGACCACTACTCTTATTAAAGCACTCTGATACCAAGCCAATGAGCAGACTGTAAACATCTAGGGATTCCTATTAATGGGATCACAATATAAGCATCAAGAGAATTTCATATGAAGAATAAAATGAATTCTAGTAGTTGCAAAGACCATTTATATACAAAAGCAGAAATATCTGTCTGCACTGATAAAACACTGTCACTACAGTGTCATTATTATTTATTTGTATTGTTAAAAATGTGCATTACAATAGCATCTATGAGTCCTAGTCATGGAAGAGGATGCCATTTTGCTAGATGTTTTACAGACACAGAACAAAGATATAGTCCATGCCACACACATCTACTTATTTAAGTAATCATCATGGGTGACTGGAGCCTCCTGAGTAAGGGGGGGCACTTACCCCCCCAGCAGCCAGTCAATGACCAGGGGGGAGGGTTCCCCATGGCAGATCGTGCCAACCAGGAGGGAGGAGCTTCCAGGCCAGTGCAATCAGCCACAGGGGGATTGTGGGGATCACTTCTCCTGGTGCCCCCACTCCCTGGCCAGCACTCTCAAGGGGGGCACCAGTGCTCTCGTTTGTCCCCCATCCCTGTTGCCTAAGCAGGGAAGTCAGGGGGTGCACTGGCACTCTCAGGGGTTGCACATGCACCCCTGTGCACCCCCTATGCGTCGCCACTGGTAATGATGTTACAATAACCCTAAAAAACAACTTTTCTGTTGACTGATTAACAGATTAAACATTACAAAGTTAATAAAATACCACAGGCATGGGTGCTACATTCACCTTAGAGAGTTCAGTTTATCAAATTAGCATCACTGTAAATGCATCATAGAAACCAAAAAGAAGGTATGGCTAGAGTGGTCAACTGTCCTGTCCCCTACTCCAAAGCAGGATCAACTATACCCAAGCCATTCATAACAGATGCCTCTATAACTTGTTCTTAAAAGCATTCACTGATGCAGCCTCTCTAAAAAATCTGTTCCTGTGCTTAACTATCCTAATACAGGCAGTCCACACACTTACGACAATTGGTTCCTGAAAATCACGTCTTAAGTCAAAACGTTGTAACTTGGAACTGATTTTCCCATAGGAAAAATGTTATAGATGGGGGATTAGTTCCTGAACCAAGGCCCAATACCCTATTTTCACCAAAAATAACCCAGAATTTTGTACTCAATCAATTTGAGATGAGTAATATAGCTACATTAATGTATTTATATGGTAAATAGCAATCATATTGATTTGGAAGGACTTCTTTAAGGTGACTTTGCTAGAGTTTTGAAGGGCTCTTGGTTGGACTTTTAGAAGGGTTCTTGGCTGGAGTCTGCTCAGGAATCCTGGCTGCAGGTTTTTCTGGAGTCTTGTCTGCTTTCTTAAAGAAAGTGTGCAAGGAAGTTTGGACAGATGTTCTCCAGGGAGATCAGTGACACGGCGAACTTGTTTACTGGTGTGGCGTGGTGTCGAATCAAGCATTGTAAAGTTGAAACTGACATCAGAAAGTTGAAAAAGGGTGTCAATTTATAAACGTTGTAAGTGCAAAGCATTGTAACTTAAAATGTTATAAGTTGAGGAATGCCTGTAGTTAGAAAGGTTTTGTTCATGTCCAACCTAAATCTTCTTTACTCCAATTTAAGCCCATTACTTTTTGTCCTATCCCCATGATAGGATATAGACATGACTTTACATTCCTTTACACCGCCTTTATCAAGGTACAAATCTTTTGTACATTAATAGGTTTACATCTTCCTCCAGTCGTCTGTTTTTTTAAAGAAACAAGTCCAATTATCAGTTTCTCCTTAAGTTATCTTTTCTAGACCTTGTCATTTTTGTTGCTGTCCTCTAGAGTGCATCTAACTGGCACACATCTTTCCTGAAGGGAGGTACTTAAAATTGGACATATTCATACAACTGAAGCATTACAAATACTAAATAGACTGGAAGGAAAACTTCACATTTCTTACATCCAAGATTCCTATTAGAAATAGTAGTTGTTAAAGTGAATAGCTTTCTCGTTGTCACAGTGATGTGTCTCTGGTCTATTGTGGCATAATCATTTTCTGGACTGAATATCCAACTGAATATCCATTGCCATCTAATGGGAAAAATTCTATTACATAAGGTATAGTATCAACATCTAAAATTGATGTTTAGTCCTCCTGAATCTATTTAGTCTAAAGTAGGTATGCTATAAAATAACTATATAATTATAAATATTTTATAAGTTATTCCTTGTAGAATAAAAGCTGAGGTTGGTGTTAAGCATCATTTAGAAGTATTGAAAAAATTCCACCAGTTTCTAAAGCAGAGGTTAGGCTGCTGGATCATATTGTATCTGCAAAAAAATGAGTTACATACTCAACCAGAGCTCATAAGCACATTAATGAACAATGGAGTGTTAGAATGCAAAAGTTGTTCTCCTACTTTGTTTTTACTATGCTGTCAGTTGAGCATGGGCTTGAGTTTGTTACATGCACTGACCCACAACCCATCTATATAATAAGCCCCCAACCCTGCCCTCAGGTGACAATCAGGAGCAGACCTAGGAGGAATGCAGTAGTGTTGTCACACCCCACTTTGATTCCTGGTCCACCTAAAATTTAAACCCACCAGTCTGGCAGCAGCAGCAGCATTTTTATTCAAACAGCAGTCACTTGACTTCATGCTTCATTATAATCCACCTGAACGCTTCTAAATTCTTCATTCCACAGGTGTTTATGACCCTCTTTCTGTTTTAATGCTGTTGATATTCCATTAATCAAGCTATCCCTTCTTCTATGATTTTGCTGCCTGTTAGGTGCTCCAATAATGTAGCTCTTGTTTCACAGCCCTGGCTAAAAATATTAAATCAGGTATGAAAATAACTTTCAATGAACCATCACTGTCAAGATGCTCAAGAAGGCTAAATTTTATTTTATGAATCTAAAAAAATGTACATTTAAATTATAATTACTACAAGACCTATGAAAAAACATTATTTGATTATTACTTACCTAGTTTGTTATGTTTTATTATAATATATGGTACAGAAAATTAATGCACATTTCATATTTATTTCTGCTAGGTTCTTACCCTGAATAATATAGCCATAGGCCCCTAGCACATAAGTAAAGCTTCTAGTTTCTCCTTAACTGGAGAAAAATATGCATTGCGTTATATGTGATGAGACTCCATATCATCTGCACTCCCTTGCTGAGGGTGCTCCTACGCATTCATTAATGTGCAATAGTAACTGCATATTTAGTTTAACACTTGCTTAATGAAGTACTAATAAAATGTGCAGTAACTATAGTTACCATGCAGTAGTGCTGGCACTTGGGTTTTTTTTTGTGATGCTGACTGCACAGTAGGTAAATAACACTGAGAAGTAGCTTATTAGCATGGTTTTTGACTGGCATGCTACCATGCAGTGTTATTAGGCTACCGCACAGTAAACGTCTTGTGTAGATGCACCCTGAAAATCCTAGAACCACCCATGGCAAAACCTCTGACTGAATGTAGAAGCCCTCCTGAATCAATTCCACAGTTCTTCTTCCAGCCCATCTAGATATTCTTCTGTCTCTCACTCTCCTTCCTGGAAACTGGGTTGACACATTTAAACCCCTTTTCACTGTTTAACCCCTTGTTTTCTTCAAAGTCCACCCAGGTTGGCTCTTTGTAGTTACCATGTCACACAGGAACTCCAAAATGTTCTCTTAGCTGTCCTGATAAGCACATATATATATTATGCTTAATATCTAGAAGTATAATATACAAAGGACTATAATTCCAGCTGTCTATATCTATGATGCAATTTCACAAAAGCTAGTAACGCTATGGATTCACTAGACATAGTGATACATGTGTTAAATGCATAACCAAGGACTGCAAGAAATGGCCCGAGAAATAGAGGTCACACTTCAGATGTAGAATCTTTGGTTTTATTATTCTGCTCTTTTTAAATGCATTGCTTTCTAGAAGTTTAAAGCTGCAAAGACTGCAGCAAACTGTATGTGCAGTATTGAGTACATGCATTGTTCTCCAAAGGCTAAATTAAGCAGCATATCTAAAAGGTTCCCAGTTTTTATGTTATTGCATTTGATATTTTCACTATTTCTGTAAGTTCCTGTTATTGGCTTCTTTTTCTTTAGTATTATTAAACAGACATGCTTTCTCTGAATAATTAACTGCATCAACAGTGTAATATTGTATCTCTGATATGCATATCTTCTGAACAGGCATTCCCTGAAAGACTAGCCAGTCAGAATGCAAAACTGAGGTTTATACATGAGATAAGGGCAATTTCAGTCTGGAGCTAAAACTTTGACAGCCCATACCATAAATTATAAGAGGTTATGCAAGTAAATTATGTGAGGTCTCTCATGTAGTTAAAAAAGGTCTAGTACTCTCTGGCATTGGGCTAGGATATTTATTAATCTGTAGGATTAGGTAGAAGTGTTGAGAAGACAGCTAAGGCATTTTTTCCCAAAAAAATATAGAGAACATGCTAATGAGCTCTAGTCATGTACAAATTTACCATATAATTGTGAAAAACCTATTACATTCCTATAAATAAGCCACGTTCAAGTAACAACCCTCCAAAACCTTCCAAAGATAAGAACATTTTACAACAAACTTTACCCACACAGCTTCAAGATATATGTAAGCTTTGACATGCATAATATA